AGACATTTCACATCATCCAAGAAGCTTCTTCAATTCTGAACAGAAGAATGAACTGAAGAAGCTTCTTAAATGAGAAATGAAATGTCCTCAAGGAAAATCAAGAAAGTCCAGTTGCCGTTTGCTAAAAAAAAAAAAAAAAGCACCTTTGGGATGTGAATCAGAGAATCTGATAACCACCGAAAGATGTATTTGAGAATGACTCGCACCCTAATCATCGCAAGAAGGATCATAGTCCTAACTGGAAATTTTCAATCCTAAAAACAATTCCCCAGCTATAAAATGTTGAGAAATTATACATGTTCCATGAAGATAATGTACCTAGGTACTAAAGGAAAGATGAACTATGTCTTGCTTTGAAGAAACAATGAAATATTAATAAATTAAAAAAAATCTGTTCCTCACAGAAGAGAACTGAGAAAAAGGCCCCCACAACAGAGAAATGAAGAAAAGATATGAAGGAGTTTCAATGACGAAGAAGAAGTGGGGCAGACAGGATGGAAGGCTAAAAAACAGGCAGCTGTGCATTAAGAAAATGAACCAAACATAATTTTTTTGTGATTAAAACAAAAACTCATGAAGTTGGCATAGTTACACTGCTTATTCATATTGATGGATTCAACCAAAGCTGGCAGAATTCATTAAAATCACATGAGAAGCTGAACATGACTTATAGGTTACAATAGCTTGATGATAATATCTGTTCAATCGTGTCCAATTCACAGCGATTTTGTGGACCAGCTCTCTGCCTACATTTCCGATCTTGCGTGACTTTTTTCAGCTGTTTTACCCTCTGGCAGAGGTCAGCTTTGAGGGTGTCTAGCCATCATGTTGTTTGTATCATTTCCTTTTACCCATTGACCATTTGAAGCAAAATTGCCTTTTTCCAGTGAGTATGACCCCATGACCTGTCCGAAATAAGTAAGGCAGATTTTTGTGATTTTGCCTTCTAGCAATATGTCTGGATTTATACACTCCAGTATTTGATGGCTTGTCACCTTTGCAGTCCAAGGAATGTGCAGGACCTTCTTCAACACCTACAGCTTGAACAAGTGTTTTTTCCCCTCCTGCCTAGTGTTTTTTTTCCTGGTCCAACTTTTGCAACCGTAAGTAACTATGGGACTATGCAGACTAATCCGCACTTGGTTGCCAGGCAGATGCTCTTGCTTTTCCTCACTTGATTCATGCTCATCCTTGCTGCAGGAGCCTGTGCAATTCAACACTTTATTTCTGAACTGATCTGCTTTGATCAATCTACAGTTCTAGGAAAGTAAATTTTATACTGTGACTAGGGCAAATCCAAACCTAGACTACATGTTGTTCAAAGAAGACATGGTAGTGAATGTGATGCACAAGTCAAAACATATGTTCACATGGTGATGTAAAATCAGATTTATCAAACTGGCCAGGTCACTTGCAAGAAGGTCACTGTTGGCCTCCATATTTTCCTAGCTCTGATCTCATCTCCTCCTCCTCGTTATTACTGCATGTGAAAGAAGATGATGGAATGGCTCCCTGGTTGTACAGGGTTGGGTAAGTGGTATCTGTAGCTAAAAAGATAAGGTGGTCCATGGTCCACTTCTCCACAAGGCTTCCCATATGTGATGACCACCAAGTCTTGAGCTCTAGTTTTCTAGTTCTTAAGTTAATCATAAAGTTGGCTATTATGGTTTAACATAAAAAAGCAATTTGATGTTATCTGCTAAACTTGGGAAAAAAGAGAAAAAATATACCTAAAAACTCTGCATGAGAAGTCTGAGTTATTGAGTTGGTGAAGGATGCATCTTTGCTTCATTTGGAGGATGTCCTCTAGATCGGGAAACAAATCATTTGAGCCTAAATATCCCATACCACTCAATTCTTGTGCAAGCTTCTGGTCCAATAAATCTTGTTAATATGCAGGAATCTAAGTGCCTGTAACTTAGGAACCGAAGATCACCTGTTGCTAAGCATCTACCTTCTCTATATGTTGCTAAGCAGCTGGTAATGCAGCTTCATTTACTGTTCTCATGCCTTCAATTCATAGACTACTCAAAAACCTTGAGACTCCCAATTACTAAGATACAATAAAGACAGAAGTGCTACCATCCCATTTACAGTTTCTTTTTCTATTTCCCTGCTTTTAAAAAATTAACACCAGATGTTCAAGTTTAGCATTAACTCAGGAGCTTAAGTAGACCTTGGTGGGTCATGCAACGTGGATATTCTGAGACATCTTCAAAAAGGTGAAAAAAACATCTAAGGATATCTATGCTTCTCAAATCTATATTCCCTTCCTGCTTGCAGTCATTCTACAGGCATGCTCAATTACTATTTAATAAATTCACTTGTATTAGCATAGATTCCTATAGGTTATCTTTAAATGTACAAGATTCCAACTTGGAATAATCATAATCTAATGAGTCAAAATCATAACAGTCCATTATTACAGTTTATAGGAACAGAGGAAAAGAGGGGGAAGAGGGAGGCAGAATTTGACTTCCTCTATTCTGATAAAATTTGCGCCCTGATGCTTATTTAATTTTAAATATTCCTATTGCAAAGAGGCTTCATTTGCAGATGGACTGATGAATGTATTTAATACAGATAACTTCATTAATACTAAGGAAATGGTTGTAAGATATTTCTGAGATGAAGAAACAATCTATGGGGTGAAACATGGGAGAACTAAATCCTTTTCTCTGGGTTTTGTATACTTTGGCCTGCCTTGGTGCAGTGCTTGGTGCACCCTGTTAGACATAATTATCTTCTAGTCATAATTATCTTCTAGGGAGATACCTGTCATCTTCCTCTTCCCATTTGTATGGGAGAAATTGGGGTCCCACTGAACAAGCCCATATTAGCAATTAACAACAACAAAAGGAAATAGACTCTGAAGCCAACTGTTGAACCTTTTGGAAAATAAGACTACACAAAACAGAAAGCCCTCCTCTGGTTAGTTAGTTCAATAACCCATAGTATAAATTAAAGCCAATTTTATTAAAAGTAAAAAAGAGGAGAAAATCCTTTTAAAATTTATGCAGTCATAAGCAAGAAAACAAGACAAAAAGCTGTGACTATAGTGGCAACGAGCACACCACTGGAAGACCTAAAGGACCAGGTTGGGACAGATGGTCTTGGAGAAAATTTATCTTTATGGTTGCTAAGAGTTGACACCAACTTGATGGCGCATAGTCAGTCAGTCATTCAGATGCAAATGGCGATAACATAGGAAAGATAACACTGAAAATATCAAAAACAGGAATCTCTCATTTTTTTAAAAAAAAACCTAAAAGCACATACACTTGGTCAAATTCAAGGAGGGCAGGATCTGCTGCTGAAAGAACTCAAGAAATAATGGATGTTTATAAACTTGCACAAATACAATTCAGATACAATAGCTATCAACTATTTTAACCAGTATTCCTATTAAAGTAAACCAGATATCTAAATGCAGAATCTTGGCTATAAACATTGCCTGTACATCAGAAATGAAGGTTGATTCCCATGACCGGTTCCTTCTAGATTTTCCTGGATAATTCCTAAAACATGTTAATTGCAACCTAAATCCAGAGTCTTAGAACTTTTCACCATACTTTTTTTCACTGCAATCTTTGTTTTCTAGGTAATTGTTTCCTAACACAGATTTCCTTATTTGCTTAATCTGGATCCCATTCTTAAGATTCCAGCTGTTCTTCTCTGTCTCTGCCCAGAACTCCTCTCCCTATCTCCACACCCCCCCAGGCTTAGATTTTGAAATGACTTTGTTGTCTTATCAGAAAAGGAAGGATCAAGGGATGTGTATGTAGACCAGAGCAGATATTCACTACCCCTTTGAATGGCGTCAATTGAAACCCAGATAAGTGGTATGTGGTTCCCCTGCCTGGATGCAATTATCTGCCTTGTGATTGCTAGGTGGCAATACAGCAATTTCATCTACTGGATTTATAGTAGATTACAAATGATAAAAACAGGAAAGAGCAAGCTAGTGAAATTGTTTGCAGCCTTTGCTTTTTGTTTTCTTTATTTGCTAGATGCCGTGCTAGATATAGAACCAATATTTTGATTACAGATGTGTTTAGTAATTGGGGGGGGGGGGTTTACGATCGGATAGGCAATTGTTTTTAAAAAAACCCATTCAAAGCTCAAATGACATTCTATCAGTTATTACATACTTACTTACATACTTATTTATTTATTATCATGCCTTTATTATTGTTATAAACAATTCAAGGTGGTGAACATATCTAATACCCTTTCCTCTCGATTTTTCCTCACAACAACAGCTCTGTGAAGTGAGTTGGGCTAAGAGAGAAGGACTGGCTCAAGGTCACCCAGCTGGCTTTCATGGCTATGGTGGGACTAGAACTCACCATCTCCTGGTTTCTAGCCAGGTGCCTTAATTGGATGTTCTTGCTTTGACAACAGATGAAAATGCAGCCATTTTCTCTATGCTTTTAGAATTAGTTGATGCTGGGAGGGAGGAGAGTTCAGTTAGTCCTAATAATAATAACTCTGCCGTGGGAATCCAAGGACAAACTGGGTCCAGAGCTGATAATGTTTTGGGGGGCTGGAGAGCTGGGGAGAAAGCCCACACTTCAGGCTAATTGGGGAATGTGCTTTATGACTGTTTATTGGGGGTGGGAATTGTACTTTGTTACTTTGTATCCAGGGGAGGGGAATTTAGTTTTTGGGTTCAACTATGTAGTGCCGATACTTTGTTTCCCAAATAAAAGATTCTTTAAGGAAAACAATGCCTCGAAGTTCTTTTGAAGGGTTTCATCTGTCGGAACCATGACAATGTCAGCTTTGTGGACTCTATGCCTGCCTTTACTGCATGATAGCAGTAAAGACTGTTCAAGGACCAATGATCTTGTCTCATTTGAGAAAGCTAAAGATTATATTATATATTATATTAATTATATTACATTACATTACACTACACTACATTATAACATTATAACTTGATGAGATGGTTGTATTTCTACACACATATATCATGCACAAGCAACAACAGCAAATACCTGTTCTGGTTTCAGCCCAGGAGGGACCCAAGCGTATTCTTCCAAGGCACAGCCCGAATCGTCATCAGAAGTCGAATTCCTCTGGAAGTCAAACATCAGCTTGGTCACCGTCTTCTCCATTTCTAAAGGCATCACTGTTTCAAAGTGTTCTGATTGTGGACACTTACAGTGCCGGCAAATTTTTCTGGGGATATGAAGTAAAAAGCCAACAGTTATCCTCTATTTAAGGATGTATGAAATAGAGATTAGAATGTTTGAGGCATGAATATCAATGAAGGTCATCTAGCATTCAAATGTCATGTTTCCATAGTTTTACAATTATGTAAACATAATTATGAATTCATACCTATTGGACAGCTAAGCATTTTCCTGAAAGAAACTGATAGGTTTGGCTAATTATTGAACATAAGATCATCTAAATACAATTACATGTTGGGATCACATGCTATAGTAGCTTTCTTTTGAATGGAAGTAATTTCACATATTAATTTTACTCTGGAAACTCTTCTTTTGAAGTATCTATCCCTGGTTTGGCAAGTACTAGGGAACAATGTATAATGCATATCTTTGTGATCACAGAAACATTGATACATGCATTTTTCCTCAATTATACAGCTGTCTAAAGAAATCACTTCCCTTTTTAAATCTGAGCATACAATTTACCATCAGGGTTCCCATCTGAAGGACTGTTAGAAATCTGGTTATTTTTTCTTTGAGCTGGCTTAATAGTTAATTATATCCATGCCATGTTATTATGCAACATGACTCTCTCTCTCTCTCTCTCTCTCTCTCTCACACACACACACACACACACACACACACACACACACACACACACACACACACACACACACACATTTGGTTTCATACATAACAGATGTATGTTTTTGCAGAATTTGTTCTCCTTCCTTCCCCTTCCTTTATGAGTCAGTGTAAAGACTCTGAATGGCTCACAATTCCTATTCTGGTAAGTAAGATTAAACAATATAAAAACCCAACCCAACTCAGAGCTGTCAGTCAATAGCACCAATATTCTTGGCATAGAATCATGCCATAGAATCATTTCATTTTTGTCCCCAAACACCCTCCATAAGAGCCAGGTTTTGACTACTCTATGGATGTACAGTAGGCAGAGGGCATTTAATATATTTTTGTGTGCCAGTTTCAAAAGAAAATGGAAATTAAAACAGCAACTGAGGAATACTAATTTGTACTAACATTAACCTGAGGTAATATATCTGCTGTGGTCATGGTGATATCTATATCCATGGGAAATGGTTATTGGAGAGAGGATGGAGGTTGCCTTGGATAAAGCAGCTGTCAGCAATAAGCCTGCATGGGATAAGTGAAATGCAGTGTCTACATGTAAACAACAACCTGCCCTTGACAAAATGCCAGAGCCCCAAAGCAGTTTTCTAAACCCAAGCATAATTCTTTCATTTGGAGAGGAGGAAAAAAAAATACAGCAAGCTCCAGACCACCCATACAGAACTGGCTTGTAAGGATTTAAGGATCAAATGCATTTGATAGACGATCTGGGATACACCTCTTCATTTTCCCTCCTTTGACAGCACCCATAAATATGCAAAGAGTGCCAGAACATCAGCACATCCAGCTTAGCAAGCAGAAAGGCTGTCGTATACAGTATGCAAAATCTCAACGTAAACAGAAACTTAAGAGCGGCAAATTCCTTAACAATGACAGAATACCATAGACGGGGGTTGTGCTAAATAAAAGCAGTGATGAAAGTTGCCCACTAGCAACTGCTACCTCTCTATAAGATTATCGCAAGGCTGCTTTACAGAGAACAAAGCTAAAGCTCAATTGATATCGCCTACATATGAGATTCCTAAATTTGATCCCAAGTGAAGGTAGACAAGACAGCCTTGTCTAACAAGGAGTTCTCTCCATAATTCATTTCCTTTGGACTGACTACTTTTCTTATTCCCTTCTCAGAAGACCACTTCATTGACAATAACAGCTCCTGCAGAAAGGAGATATCTGATCTGACTCCCAAGATGTACAGGGGAGCCTAGTTTTGAAAGTGTGATGTGCATTGACCTAGGACAGGAAAAAACCTGGACATGTAAGGGTGCCAGTCAAAACAAATCTCCTAATCTATCCTAATCTATTCTAAACCCTGATAGCCATGGTCTACAATATTTGTCTCCTTCAAGATAGCCTAATCTAACCAGGTGTCCTCTAACCTTGGATCTATAACAGCTATGCTGTTATTAAAAAAAAAACCCCCAAGAAAGTCTAGTTTGCCTTTTGGAATAAGCACCTTTGGGACATAGTGATCCACTAATATTTGAATGGCATTCCCATGCAAAAAGAGGTAGGGTCTGCCCTCCTAAAGCCAACACTACAGTATAGCTCAATGTGTTGACATTAAAGGGAAGATCCCTTAGACCAGGGGTAGGCAATCTTGGCTCTTTTATGACTTGTGGACTTTGACTCCCAGAATTCCTGAGCCAGCCATGCTGGCTCAGGAATTCTGGGAGTTGAAGTCCACAAGTCATAAAAGAGCCAAGGTTGCCTACTCCTGCCTTAAACTCATATGCCATATTTTTTTTTGATTGAACAATTTACCAATCCAATAGGTATACAATGAAAAACAAATAATGGCAATCCAATTTCTGTGTCTTAGAGATGAAATCATTATCAGCCCCCATTTTCAAGGCCAGCCACAGTATTTTGCAGCTTGAGCCAAAGCAGATTACAATTCCCACTCCTCTATTTCAATGTGAACAGTATCAAAGGCAAAACAAGAATTATTTTTTTGTACAGCTGAGGGAAAAAAACCCCAGAACTATGTCCCACCTTGAAAGTAGAATTTTATAATCAGCAGTTTTTCATGACACACAACACTGGGAAAACTGAGGCAGTTGTTTTATCCTGCCCAAGATTAGGCTGGTGCTAACATTCTTGAAATTAATTAAATTGCTTCAGTATAAAAATAACTCCATATCCTACTTTTTTTTAAAAAAATGGAACGTTTGGAGTATTTGAACTTGATTAATACGTTTGGGCAAGTCACGAAGAGTTGATCATAAAATAATCTGCAGATGTTCCTAAATCCCTTTAAAATAATAATACATTAATCAAAATCTTTCTAGGTTATATTGGAGAGATTGTATTCACATTAGTTAGAACTTATCTCTGGTGGCAAAGTTACTTAAGTTATTAAGTGTGGTCCACAATGCTGTTTCTTCAACAAATCAGGAAAAATGGGTCATGACATTTACCGTTTTTTAATTTTGATTCTTTGTATGCCAAGGAAAGTTTAAAAAGAGGGGAGAAACACTTCAAAGGCATAAAATACCAAATGTAAAAGCAAGTTAATATAGGTAGTCCTAACCAGAATGCAGCCTACCCACCATGGTCATCAAGCACTTCGTGACTGTAGGACATTGTCATCAGCCGTCAACATGGCCTGGTTGCCCGAGTGCCCAAAATATGATCACATGATTGGGGGCACAACTATCTGTCTCTCAGAACTTTGAATCTGGATTGTAAGTATTAAGTAGATCCATTGGAATGTCAAATGGTCACTAAGTGACTGGTTGTAAGTCAAGGACTATGTATAGAGAAGTCTGTGCTCAGAAACCTCCTTTTCAAACATTGCATCCCATCCTCCTGTGCTAGATAGGATAGATCTCAACAGCTTTCTTAAAACTAGAAGAGATAGTGCTCACCAAATCTCTGCAGGAAGGGAGGGTGGGACCGATCATGAAAAGCTTGTATCTAAGGTGCCATCAGATGGCAATCTCTTAAGGATGCATCCTGGAGGAAGTTGCTCCTATTCAAGGGAATCAGATGGGAAGACAGGGAGAAGTGACCTCTTAGATAACCAGGTCTGAAGCCATAAAGGCCTTAAATGTTAACAACTAGTACTCCGCGCATCACATTGAAGATCTAATCAGCAACCACTACAGTTCCCAAAGAAACTGAGTCACCCAGGTATACTGGGAATCACCCATCACTTCCCAGGTTGCCACATTCTGTGCCGATTGTATCTTCTGAATGTTCGTCAGGTACGGCCCCATGTAGAGTCATGATTAAAGTAATCTAAATGAAAGATGGCCAAGGCATGAGTTACTGTGACGAGGGCCTCCCCATCCAGGAATGAAACAAAAACTAAGTCTATGGGTGATCTCGTGTGTTCATTGAAATATTTTCCAAGTTCTGTAAACTGTTGCAATATAAGCAATTAATTTTTTCTGTCAGTTTCTATTCTTGTTAGTTTTTAGTTGGTTAGTATTATAAATATTGGAAAACAAAATTACATGTTTCTTTGGACCAATGCTATCTAAAAGTGTGAAAAGAAATTAGCAGCATAGCAAAGAATTTGGACAAGCCCTTCAATTAAGTATTGTTTTTATTCAGTTTCTATTTTTAACCACCTTAATAGACTATGTATACATGCAAATGTATTTTTGCTAGAAGCTGTTGAATATTAATGTTTACAATTTCTGTATTTCTGCCTGAGAACATTTATGAATTTATGTATGAAACTCTCAGTATTTTCAAGGATGTTATCTATGTTTTACCTCTTTCCTTCCTTTATTACTGGTATTATTTACCTGTTGATATTTATCCATTTTGTTTCACACAAATTAAACTAAGAGAAATGGTGTCTCCATTTTGTCTCAACCCTAACCCTAACTCTATCCTCTGCTTGCTTCGGCTTTGGCTACCATTGGGATGAGCCCTAACAAAATTATCTCTGTAGGGATGTGGCATAGAATGATTGTAATTAATTAACATTAAATGTAACACCCAAAACTGTTTCACAAACCATTCCCACCCCAAAGTAAAACATATTCTTTCTACTGCAATGCTCTACGAATGTATAAACATTTCTTCCTCTATTTCCTTACAGTTAGTAAAAAAAAAATTAAAAAGGGGGGGGAGGAAGGCGGTTGAAAAGTTTGATATGTAAATAAATAAAATAAATAAAAATGACTGCATATAAACTTAAAACTCCACAGCTTACAGAGCACAAACATGTACTATGCCTCAAGACATTGCTAAGCCAAAGGAAAAAAAGTTGCCAATTTCCCATTTCCTGCTTTTCATCAGATTTAAATATATACAGATGCAAATATAAGTAGAGTGTCTGGATTCTATCTAGTCAGTGACAGAATCTCGGCCGGCCATTGC